TCGTATTCTTTATTGTAATAAGGCTACCAGTCGGAGCATAATCTCGAGAGCGCACAAGGAGATAGAAAAGGAGGAGAAAAAAAAAGAGGGAAAGAAAATGGGATATAAAATCAGTCTCATTGTTTTATCTAATTTAACAGTCTCTCAGAGCTTTACACCCATCTCATGCCCCCTTTCGCCATTATCAGGGCCAAGAATGAGACCTTTCTCGCCTCCCATCGTTGAGCAGCCCACGGAGAGAAATCATAATTGTGTTCTTGTCTCACTCGAGTTAGAACAAATTAATTCACAAATGGCTTAAGATGTCTAAAGAGTTTAGATCCCCGGCGAGAGCCTGGAATTGCTGACACAACGAGAAAGGCGGGCTTTAAGAGATGATCTCAAGTATCAAAAACTATGTATCACCACCAAACATTTGTTGGCCAACTTAAAAGCCTTCCGCCAGGGAATTCAGCCAGCAACGCCAAGGCTGATGAAAAACATTCTGCTGAAGCATTTGCTTATGACTGACATGTTTTCTCTTCGTATTTTCGCCACGGAAATTCTCTTCCTAATGATCAAATAGTCCCTGAAGATAACTAATACTTGTGGTGAGGAAGGATTTCTCAAGTAAACTCAATGTTTTTCCAATTACATTGACACGATTTGTGCTCACGTGTCATTGAATGCCTGAATTTGACATCACTTAGCTTCTCTGCGGAGTTCATTGCAAAGGAAAGTTTCGTGTGAGAAATCTCAAGTTCAAGGAATTGTCAAAATAATTCTGACAATCTCTAGTGCCAAAGTAATCACTCAACAAAACACTCGGATCGATATCGAACTCGCCTGAAGAATTAATTCAATTTGCTGAACATGTGCGATAGTTATACGGTTGACACTTGTGAGTTTCAGATTGTTTTTTCTACTGCTCTCTGTTGATTTTCGTTGAGAGGTGACAAAATTGATTGGGAAAGCATGACAGAGAGCGTAGGTGTGCGTTGACACAGCCAGGAATTGATTGCTCTTCAAATAAGGAAGTGAATCTGCATAAAAAATTGATGACCTCGCAATGGAAAACAACGCAGAGAAAGTTCAAATCAACTATTTCACGTTTCACATTCAACCAGTGCAAAGTTACTTTATCTAAAGTAATCTATGTGTGAATTGAATAGTCTTCAAATTTCCCTTCCTACTAAATTCCAATCAATGCTATTTAGTATTGGGATTCCTTTAACACATATCGACGGGTGAATAGAAAACTGTGAAAAGTCAAAATTGTCCTTTTTAAGAGAGCGATTTGGAAATTTAGCATTAATTTCTCTGCGAAATTTGCTGAATTTTAACTCAAAAACTCTCTAATAATTTGATAAAGTTTTAATTATTGCTCTATAATAATTATTTTATGAATATTGACTGAAAAGCAAAGTTTAGATAAACAGAAAAGTGTCCAAAAGTCAATTTTAAATAGGTTTTGAGTACATTTTATCCTAAAAAGTAGTAAGAAATAAATTTTGAATACTTTCCATTACGTTTCTTAAAGTTATATATTGTAGAAAAAAAGTTTTATTTTAGAATGTTTATCAGAAAAGCATTTTTGCAACATATTACAGTTTTTTTTTATTGTTTTGGAAACTCAAGAAAATGAAATAAATCAGGATTTCTTACAATTTCCGCATAAAATTCAAATTTCAACAATTTTTTTAGTGCCTAAACAGATAAAAAGATGTTCAAAATTATATAAGAGGTAAATGATGAAAATCGTCTTTTCATAGTTCTCGACTCACCCTTCGATATGCAATTACATTGCAACCCCGACTGTGGTTTTGAGGGTGTTTAAAGTAAATTAGATATGCCAATTGTTTGTGCTGTTCGCCTCTCACAAAGGTGAAATGATGCCAATGAGCCACAATGCATGCCTATTAAAGTCTTTAGCTAACTCTAAACTTGCCTAATAAACTTCCTCAAACTCCAGACAATGTGGCACTTGGAAATTCCCCAAACATATATACTTAAAATTTGTTTAATCCGTACTCCCGAATCCGTATATCGTTAACTTTTTGTCTTCCAACGATAAAATGTTGAAGGGAAAATTCGCGAAAAGTGCTCAAGGCGCTGTTCGCAGAACTTGGAGCATTTCACGCCTTCGTTTCTCTAGCCTTCAAAGAGGAGAAAACCTCTTTATTGAAAGTCCCCGTCAATAAACTAATTTGCCAGGAGTTGCTCCGTTTTTTCCTCACAGCCAGAAAGGATAAATGTACGGTGTTTTGAGACCTTGTTTGAGGCAGTCGATTATGCTGGGGATATTTGGGAAAATTCACTTGCTCACGCTCATGAAAGTTGTACCCAAATCATCTTCTCAGCGACCCGCACATATTCATAATTAAATTCCTGAAATGATGAAAATGCTCCGAAATACAATGATAATTTGAAATGCTACACTGGGTTTCCTGGACTTTGAGACGAAGGCCCCATTCTTCAGCTTAATTATTACTGTATATGCTCTGTGTCTGTTCCTTTCCCAAGGAAGCCGAGTGGATGTCTCTCATCTGCGTAATTGACAAAAGTGGGTACAATACAGGAATCACACAGAATTTCAACAATTCCAAGTGATTATCATGTACCTTCTGCCTCAATGAATAAATTATTTCTTACGTTTAATTAATTCCTTCCAGCCGCAGCTTTTTTTCTTCTTCTTCTCAGCCGCTTTTCCGTCTCTCTTCGGGGGGGGGGAAACATTTTCGGGGTGGAAATATTTGTGGGCAAAAGTCAGAAGAATCTCACCATTTTTTCCTCCATAAAAAAAACTTCCAAAGACGCGCGCGCGCGCGTAAAACTTGAGCGCTCAGAGTGTTTTGGCAGGAAAATTAATTAAATAAATTTATGAAAGAATTGATTCTATTCACAGCCACTCAATCACACGCCATTGAGCGAGTGGGCCGCATTTTTTTCACTCATCAGACGCAAGGGGCCACTTTGCACTGTGGAGTCGATAGAATTTTAAATGGATTTTCACGATTACACACGTTTCATAAAATTTTACCGACCATAAAAAATCCTTTTGTACGCCATGGCGTGACAGAATGTGGCAAAGTGTGGATGGAGTTGATAATTTTCTCTGCGACATTCTCACCGAGGATTCGCTTGTGACATGACATAAAAGTGGGAAATTCATGGCATATCAATTTCCACCGAACGTAAAATATTGTTGTATCTGCCAAATATCGAATATCGATAATGCGGTGGAAAAGAAAAGCCATAAAAGAGAGAAGGAATGTCTAATTCAAATTAATCTCTTTCTCTCTCTCTCTGTCGGTCATCAATGATGAATGCAGTTGTGTCGGAAATGTCCTGCGATGGAGGGGGGACAAAAAGGAGTTGCATTAAGAGATGGAAAATGGACGAAATTGGTTCTGAGAATGGGAAGAAATGATGGTGAAACATAAGGCAATACATAATAAAAAACAAGCCCAGAGAAATCCATTATCGAGCAAATCAATACCGCGACATTCGTACGGGAAATGAAGCGGAAATCGCCTATCGAATGAATTCCTCTCGAGAGGAAAAAAGATATATAGCATGGAGAAAAGAGAAATGTCTCCCTGTTTTGGGCGCCCGCAGGAAGGAGTCCCTCATCGGCGGCGAAATGTATGGCAGAGACAAACAGAAATTAGAGCTTTTTCCGTAATTTATTGCGGTTTTTCTCCGCACACACAAAATAACAAATCCCGCGTGAGTGCGCCCTTTCACACTGTCCAAAATCACGTTCTAAATTGCGTTGTGGAGGAAAAATTCATCTTCTTCCTTTCACTCCACGTGCGTCCCTTCTTTCTTTTTTCCGCCAAATGAAGAATTTTCTATCTCAACGGCCTAATGCGATCAAAGGACATTCCACAATCGATACCCTGAGACAGTCTCGCAAAATACGACAAAATATTTGTTGACCATATTTTCCTTAATTGCCGTGGAAGGGGTAATTGGAATGTGAGGAATTTCAAACAATGAATCAATGTGATTTTAGACTTCATACAGTTTTTGGAATGTCTCGGTCTCGCTTATGATGTTTCTTGTGTCTCAAATATGCATATGAAATAATATTGTCTCTCATACAAACGACCCTCAAGAAGGCGGAGATAATATGCCTCAAATTTGTACACCACTTCTTGACACTTTCACAATTCATCAGAAGCATTTTCAACACATCTAAACGTCTTTTAATGCATTTTCTATCGTTTTTTCGACTCCGTTTTGACTTCCTCAACTGTTTTTCACACTCAATTATGATTGAAAATGCTTTGAGAAATTCTGACCAAATTATGAGATTATGAATTATATCTTAAAACCATCTTTTGACTCATTTTAATCATTTCAGTCTTGAAAATGAATAAATATATCAAATATCTCAATGTTTCTTAGAGATAATTAAGTTTAATTTCCCAATTTAAGGCACAAACCTCGGAAATAACTAAGAAAATATCTTCGAGACTGAAATAAGATTTTTTGAGGTTATGATTGACTTTAAGAATCATTCTTACTCGATATCAAGGTTTTCTAAAATCCTAATCAATCACATGACCTACAAAAGCAATAAAATTGATTTTCCTAAGCAAAATAACTTAGAAAATGCCTAAAATTGTTAAAAAAGAAGCTTAGACAGTGCAAAAACTCGAAGTTGTACACCACTTTCGACCGTAATATCTGCCCCTTGATCTTAAATAATGCTAATTAATTTTATTAAAGCCTTGCTCACATATTGATAATGCAGTGTCACTTAATTTGAAGTGCAAAAGCGATGTCAATATGCAAAATTAAATTCCATAAACTTCATACTTTACTGCACAGTAAATCTCTTAACATTAAGAGTTGAATCAGGAAGAAATGTGTCCAGGCTGAAAAGCTTCGGAAGCCGCTTCGGCGAAAGCTCTGGTGAACATCCTTCGGTCCATTTTCCGAAAGCCGCTTTCCATCGCGCTTCCCTCCGACGCAATTGAGAGGAGTCGGCAGCATCACTTGGTTCTCACTTCCTGACCGAGAAGGTTGAACTTTTCTCAACTCCGCGCCAGTGTCTCCCCCCAGTGAGAGGACCACAGAGCAGAGGTCCTCCTTTCTCTGTGTGCCCGAAAACCGTGCAATTTCCCAGCGAGTGGTCTGCAGAAAATGTAGGTGTGTCCTCGCAAATATATGTAAAAAAAAAAATTGTGCTGATTAGGCCAGGAAAAATCGCGCGGAGAGAAGAGTGGCTGGCAAAAGGCTGTGGTGGCAGAGAAAGAAAAACTTCTATTGTGTATATTGGCGACTTTTCCGTTGGCTGCCTGTGTGGAGGAAAATTCGCTGTGCTTTGTGTTGTATCCTGGCGGAGAGGAGTTTGCGTGGACGGTGCGTGTGTGTGTGTGTGTGTGCTCAGGGAAGCAGAGGGAGAAGAGATTTTTTGGATGGCGCTGGTAAATGGGTGTGAGCGGATGAGTATCAAGTTCATTTTCATCACAAGGAGGAAAAGCCACTCCACATTGATTTTCACATCTTGAAATTGCTTCTCCCAAATCTCTCTCTCACTCTTGCACACACCACTTTTCAAGTCAACACTGCAACTTCCTGGGGCGTCCTTTTTTGCGTGTGCAATTCGCAAGATATCGAGTGAGCATCGCCCCTTTTTCCATCTCTTCCAACCCCTCCTGATTAGGAGCGCCCCGGGGAAAAAGGCGCAGCGAATGCAAAAGGGTTGCGATGGCCCAGAATATCGACGACATCAAGTGCATTAAAAGGGATTTTTTATTTAAATTTTTGGGGAAGAGATGAATGGTGGCAACAAATGTCTACTAATGCTGAATTTGTGCACGAATGAACTCGCAAAGGGAAGCAAATTGCTTCATTTCGATGCCGACCGGAACACACCTCCGGCTACACTCGCTCTATGTACATCCGCACTCATATTCTGCCAACTCCCAATTAGACTCGCCATACATATCATTTATGCTGCCCCCGCTCATTGAATCGGACATGGTCAGCATCTCTTATGTGCATCCCCACCGCCGTTCAATTAGTGATGAAATTTGCCACAAATGCTCAGCAACAGCACGAGAGATTATTTTGACTTATGGAATTGTTGCGTGAACAAGTACAATTGCATTCACATTTGTGGTGTGGCGTCGAGACGACTTCATCCCCTCGAGGCGTGATTTTTATGTGGGAATTTACACACTTCTCCCCCGACAGCCAACCATCTCTCTCTCCGGATATTCAGCAAATCTCACATTTATCCCACTCTGCCCACCCCCAGAGCCTCCATTTTCACCGTCTGCGGCATTTTCTCGGGGAATTTTCCCCCAACCCCCGAACACGCTTCGCCATCATCAATATAATGACTTAACATTATTTCTCGTTATTATTTAATATTCGGAATCAGCAGCTTCCTCGGCCATTTTGCCACATCCTTGCCTTTAAAGCCCACTGCAAAAAAAACCCCTCAATTTTCCGGGGGTGAATTGCAGAAGTAGCAGAAACTTTGCTAAGTGGCAAGAAAGGAAAGAATGTAATTTGTTTTGAAGTATGCAAGCTCTTCATTTCACCGTGGAAAATGGTAGAGTTGTTTATATCACAACTAATAACTATGTATGACGCGGAAAAATGAGGTTTCAGCGAAACACAGAAGTGTGTCGCAAATAATAACGCTCAGAGGAGTGTTTAACGCTTTAGCAAGGGGCGGATATTATGGTTGGAAGTGGTGTACAACTTCACGAAAGAGTTAGAAATTAGAAATGATCAAATATGTCGAATATTTGCATAGGAAAAGCTTCAGTTTCAACAAATTGAGACATTTTCTATGTAATTTTACTTAGATAAACCAATTTTATTATTTTTCTAGGTTATGTGATTGATTTAAAACAGATTTGGATGATTTAATAACCCTCAAAGTCATCAAATTTGTACTTAAGCTGGATTATTTGTCTTTTTCTTCACACAATTGAGCATTTTTGATAAAAAAATGATACTGATTGAGAAAAGGCTTAAAAATCAATAATAACCCCAAAAAAACCAATTTCTGTCTAGAAAAATATTTCTTTCTTTAGTTATTTACGCATTTTTTGATTTTAAGTGATAAATTCAACTTTATTATCGAGTAAAAGCACTCATTTACAGGTTTATAAAGATCTAAATTAGTTCAAAAGAGTTTTTAAGTCGAATTCATAACCTCACAATATTATCAGAATTTTTCAAATCATTTTCTGAAGGCAAAACTAAGATTAGATTGTGATAAAAGTCGGAAATCAACGTAAGAAACAGTTGACAGAGTCTAAAAAACGATGAAAAATGCCTCTAAAGACGTTCAGAAGTGTCTGAACGTCGGTGGTGTACAGATTTGAGACATATTATCACCCCTTAGCGCTTTAGACATCCTCTAAATATCATTTAAGGCCTCCAGCCGTAACAAGATTTCACAGCACTTCCGCCAACTGCGTCACACCACGTTCAACCCTAATTTCCGTCTCTTTGCTTCAATCACAAGTCCGATTTCCTGGGCAATATCACGTGCTTCACTATTTTCAGCACGTGCCTGTGCGCTCGCTTGAATATTTAATAGAGGAGATTTCATGTGAAGGAGACTCTCTTGAGTTGAAATCAAATTTGAAAGGATCATTTTGCATTGTGTCAATGTCCCGAAAACGCCGTACCCTCGAGATTCCTTCAGCCCAGGAGATGTTGGCATATTTCGCCATGTAGAGCGCGCCGGAGCGGGAGATTCCAAAGAGAGGTCGAGTGTTTTCCTTCCTTTCTCTGCCTGTATTTTTCCCATGGACATTGAGAATGTCTGTCAATAGTGGCTTTTGTGTACACTCTTGAGAGATTTTAAATTGGTGTATTTTTTCTCATCTCCTCATCTATCCCTTGAATCCCATTTTTGCAGAAGACGAATTGCTGTTTACACACTGCGGAGGCGACGCTTCAGCCGTGATACATCGGCCAAAGGGATCATCCGCCGTAGAATAGATTGGCGAGCGCCTCATGATTGATTGAAGTCGTCATAGGGAGCATTTTGTAGCTGTGCCCAGAGAGAAGTTGTACAATTGAAGAGCACGAAATTGCGCCCAAGGGACACTTGTTCCACTTTTTTTTTGATGTGAGTGATTTGCGGCCGAGGATGTAGGCTATAGCCCAGAGACTGTGATAGCTGCAAGGACGTAGATTGCGTGCGAGATTCCATACATTTGTGGTGCGCGTCGGTCGGTTAGTGATACTAGATAGTAGAGACAGAGGAGGAAATCAATTAGTGGACAATATGGAGTGTCGATATGTCTGGCTGTATCTCCTGATCCACTCAGCTCTCGCCGTGCTATCGATTAGTGCTGCTCCCACAACGGAAATGCCATACATCCGTGACACGTCCGATGGGCTGAGCGAGAATAAGACCGGAGTGGATATGACACAAATTCCATCCACCGATCGCCCCCGCGCCGCCGCCCCCGCCAATTTGTCGGCCCAGCCGACACCGGGCGCAGGTCAGGTGCGGCAGGAGGCGCCGAGGAGTGGCGAATTTGCACAGGCGACCACGGAGTCGGTGGATGTGACAACGCCGGCCGAGACGGAGACGCCAAGAGTCGAGAGCGTGCTGACCACAATCCTCTACCCATCCGCCGGGCCGAGCGAGGCGGCCACCGAGCAGAGCAGCGCAGCGCCGGAGGAGGGGGAGAAGTGGCGGTCGACGGAGGCGTACTTTATTAATGGTCTATCGGATCTGTTGATGGAGAACAGTGGCATCGACAGAATAGCTGAATTTGTTGATGAAATTGCCAATCAGCACAATTCTCAGCTGGAGAAAATGGACTCATCAATTTCCACAGACGTCACCCCAACGACCACCGAATCAGTGGAGAAAATTGCCGAACAAGTGACTAATTCCATGGCGAAAAATGCCCTGAATACAGAGCGCGCCGATGCGCTCGAGGACGATGGCAATGCCACAGCGAATTTCACACCAACCACGGAAGTGAGTGCGGAGAAAAATGACTCTTTTGCGGAGACAGCAACTCCTTCAGCCATTCCCCAATTTATCCAGCAATTTGATGTATTGACTTCAGCGAGCACGGCCAGTCCGCCGGAGAGGAGCACCCAAGCGCCGATGGACACGTCCACGAAGAAGCCCAAGAGTGGCAAGGCGAAGAAGAAAGTCTCGAAGACTGTCGACACGAAGAAACCCTTCACGCTGAAGGCGTCTGATTTAGTGCACGCCGCCACGACCACCACGACCACCACCCCGGCTGTCAGCACCACCACGGAGGCCCACACCGCCGCGCCGAGCAGCAGCGAGGGACCCAGTGACATCCCCACGACCACCACGCAGGCGACGGAGGCCACCGAGGCGGCCACGACATCGTCGGCCGCGGAGACGACCACGCGAGGGCGGCCGGAGTGGACGGGGGACGATTACACGCAGCCGGAGAGCGAGGATGACGTGCTGGTGGTGGAGATTGAGGACACGGACAACTTCACGGAAGTGTCGCCGGCCGAGGAGGGGCCGGACGATGCGATAGAGCCGGCGATAAAGCAATCAGGCCGGCCCGACGATATGACCGACGAACTCTTCTTCCCCATCCTCGTGGATCGCGCCGAGGGCGCCACCACCGCCGCCCCGGCCATTAGCCAAGAGGTACCGATGGTGCCGACGACGCCGGCAAATGTAGATAAGACAGAGGCACCGATAGACCGTGACTCGGACACATTTTTCTATATATCCAATACAGAGGTAAAAGTTGTTGAATCGGTACCCACACCGGATACGCATAAGGAGACTAATTTTTTTCCAGAAATCTATGAGGAAGATGTTTTTATCGATTTTTCTAATAAAAATCATTCTCATAGGGGTTTGGCACCAGATAAGTTAGAGGAAGACATCATTCTGTCGCCTCTCAACTTTGACCCCCTCACTAGAGCCACGCAGAAAATGCACAATGACAAACAGACGAGCTACGACAGTAGCGAAAATCATGACGCCATGGACCATGTCGATAATAATTTGAGCATTAGCTACATTGGTGAATCCTTTATTGAAATTAAAGAGTCAACAACTGAGATGGACAGCAACAATCTCATGAGTCCCCTCAATTCCGACGTCATCATCCAGCCCGTGGCCATGCCCGACGTGCCCCTTTCCATCGGCGTGCCCGTCATTGGCGAGCTGCCGCCGCAGATTGAGCTCGTGCCGCCGGCGCAGCAGCACCACGACTTCGACATCGATCTGCGTGACACGTCGCACGTGTTCGCCCACGCCGGCGACTACCTGGTGAAGAACCCCTCCATCTCCGCCGAGGTGCCCATCCTCGAGTCCAGCACAGCCTCGTCGCGGCGCGCCAACGCCACCGCCACCGGCCAGACGCCCTTCGTGGACGACGCGGACCTTGACACAAGTAACTGAGTGCCAGATTGACTGTCCGATATGGCAACCCTTGTCGTTCTCTTGCAGGTTTCTCGGACCTGCAGACGCTCTTCACCGCCTGCCTCGCCACCCTCACGCTCCTCATGGTCGTGCTCGTGATTGTCTTCGGCGTCAGGTGAGAATGGCAATTCAATTAAGCACTCAATTAATTCCCCCCGCCATCGGGCGCCGCCTTTGTTGACTGTACTCAATTTGAGGGTGGCACTGCTGGGCTTTTAATTAAAAGACCAAACATTTCCATGTCGTGGACACTCAGAGACGCTCTTTTGGCCCTCCGTGGGTGTTTATGGCGGCAAAACTTGCCTACAACCCCAAGATGAAATGACTGGAGCTGACAATTAACCCATTAACTCTAAGCCATCGCTTAATGAAAATTTTTTATACCACTTTCTCTGTGGAATATTCCTTCCAACACCTGCTAAATTGTGTTCTTCGCACATTAGAAAGCGAGTTAGAGGCGCAAATTTGGGCTTGGTCCGGTTGTAATCCAGGGATTGTCACTCTATACAATGTACATAGTCAAGGGGGAGATAATATAGCCATAAGTGAGCTGTACAGCTCAATTTATAATCTTCCTTTCCTGTGTGCTTCTTTTACTGATTAAACATCCCGATTCCTTGGATTTCTTTTAAATTGTACAAAGAAACAATACTTTTTTAGGTTATGTAACAAATTACTGACGGTTTTAGTGAATATTTCGCATTCTAACACATGAATTCTCATGCTAAATTCGCCAAGATTGCTATTCTTTGGCAGAATTAAGCATTTTCATGCGAAAAACGCTAAAAGTTGTGTTTAAAGTCGAACATAACCTCAAAAATAATCTTTTGGGCTTGGAAAATGTTTATTAAGATCACTTTTTTCACGATTTTGACTTTGAATCAGCAATTATGAGTTTACTGATGATTTTGTCATCTAGAAAGCTTTCAGTTTGAGTCTTTTATGATCTTTTAGTGATATTTTTGAGGTTATGGTTGAAAAATAAGCCAAAAAAAATCGATTTTAAGTGGATTTTGACCGAAATTTCACACGGAACAAATCTAAAGATGATTTAAAGCACTGAAAGTGTTAGAAAGTTGTACAGTTTAAGAGCATTTTATCTCCCCCTTGCGTATAGTCAGACGCGGGTCAACACCTCTGGATTTGGGTCAGGTTGGGTGGATAAACTTCTGTGCAGGTTAGCTTATGGTAAAATTCAATTTATCAAAACGTGAGAAGTTTATAAAATTTCTAAATGATGTTACAAAAAGCCTCAAGCATGGAAACAAATCGCCCTGAGCTGTCGTCATACGTGATGTTAATATATCAGAAATGGCATATAAAATCGATGACTGATAAAATTACTAAAATTGCCATTTTCCTCTCCTCGGATGCACAAAGTTTATTCTATGCAATTCAATTAATTTAATAAACTAAAATATCCTGAAAGTTCAAAATCAATTTGTGAATTTTGCACACTTTATAATGGAATCTTCATCAAAAAGCATGCATTAAATCTGACGGTGAATGTTGGCATTCATGAAATTTTGATCATTTTCATCAGCCAAACTTTTCAATGTCCTCCTAAGTGTTGGATCCTGTCTTGGAATTAAAATTGCAGAGTAATGTTGGCGAGTAAAGAGCCTCGCCAACAAATTTATGGCTGGTGAAATGTGATTTAGAGGATTTCTGGCGGAGTCTGGCGAAAAGAAGAAGAAAAAGAAAGAACAGTAAAGGATGTTTATCTCTTTCCGGGGGTGTTTTAAAACAGAAAAGGAGCACATTTCACTTGACTACTAATTAAGTATTTTAATGCGAGAAAAGACTCGGAGTGTCGTAAAAATGAATCCTCTTTGGCTTTGGATGCCAGGAGAAAGGCGCGCAGAGAAGCATAATCTCTCAAATATTCGCCTCGCCGTTTAGGAGATCACAGAGTCCATATCGCGTTCGGTGCAGTTGAACCTAATGCCGCCAGGAGGTCGTTATTTCTGAGAGCTTCCTTGTCGAAATGTGCCGAGGTGATAAATAATCTCTTTGCCGGTGGCTCATTTTGTGCCGTCTTCGAGCAGAGTGCTAATTTATGGAGGCACTCGGAATACGTGAGCAAATTTCTCCTACAATTTTCACACACATATATGTACATATATAGGTTGAATATTGCCCTGGAAATTGGGACAAGTCAGGCTCGCTGAGGATATTTATGAAATATTCAAAATACCTACACAACCAATTATTCTTTTATGTGTTGACTCTCCGTGCGATATTGATTTGATGCCAGGGGAAGACAATATGCCTGAAATCTGTACATCATTTCCCGACACTTCCACAATTCCTCTGCAGAATCTTCAACACTTTAGACACTTCTGAACGTCTTTAGAGGCATTTTTCATTGCTTTTTAGACTCATTCAACTATTTCTCACGTTGATTTCTGACTTTTATCACAATCTAACCTAAGTTCTGCCTTTAGAAAATGCTTTAAAATATTCTAACCAAATTGTGAGGTAATGAAGTGGACTCAAAAAAATCTTAAACTAAGCAAAGAAACATTCTTCTATGCTGAAATTGGATTTTTTGAGGTTATGATTGATTTTTAAGCTTTTTGTCAATCAAAATCATGTTTTTTCGATCAAAAATGCTAAATTCTGCGGAGAAATAAAGTAAGAATCGAAGCTTAACTACCAATTTGATGACTTTGAGGATTATTAAACCGACATAATCTGTTCACATAATCTAGAAAAGCACTAAAATTTGATTATCTAAGTAAAATTATATGAAAAATGCCTCAATTTGTTGAAACTAAAGCTTTTCCTATGCAAATTTTCTAAATATTTTATCACTTTCGATTCCCAAACACTTCCACAAAGCTGTACACCACTTCTGACCGTAATATCTGCCCCTTGATTCGATGTTGACTCATGCTTTGCCTGGTGATTGTTTCAGATATCTCTGGCGAAAATACCGGCCCAATCAATTGGCAGTTAATGGATTGATTGCGGACAGCAGCACAGACCCTCTGGCAATTAAATCCAGAACTTTGTCCACTGATGAGGTAAATATGTAAGCCGATATTATTGAAGTCATGCCTCTATACGTATAGTGTTGATTGCATTGAAAACCCTCTGCAATATATGCAAATTCCCATATTCCAAAAGCCACTTGCATCACAAGCATGCTTCAGAGTAGTACTTCTACAGCTTCCGTTGTGATTTGTAATTTCTGTTTGTGCTAGACGATGTTAAACTTCCACTAATATGTTTGCCACGAACTCTCGCCAAAGAGAGAGCAGTCAAAATAGTGCAATATGAATATTATGTAAAGGGAAAAGTTTACAAAGGGAGCTAATAATATGGTTTAATAGTGTCCAAATTGCCACATTGGTTGTAATTATGATACAATTTTAGAGTGGTTTTGCCGAAATGTGTGGTTAAACTCGTGAAATATTGCAATCACGGAAACACAGGTTGTTTTGTGTTGAATCAAATCACATGAAATTAGCCAAATTAACACGTTATTAGTGATTGAAAATCATCCTAATAATTACTATATTGTCCGGAGGAGAAAATCCTCCGTGATGGAAAATTTTTGTAGGTCACCGAAGGGGAAAATTGATGATGAACACCTCCCCGAAGAGTGATTGTTTCTTCTTCGCAGCAACATAAGCAATCAGCTTATGTATTGCCCTCTCATCTATCATAAACTTTTACGCCTCATTCACTTATTTTTACCCGTCAATTTCTTTGAATTAATTTAATGGTGATTCACCGATCAAGTGGCCAATCGTGCACCTGAGACCAATTCCTTCAATTACCACTTCTTAATGCCGCCCTGTCGGCGCCCTCATTGCGCTCATTAAGGGTTGATGAGAGTTTAAAATTCAAGGGAGGTTACTTCCCCTCGCCAACAGCGGCTCTTTGAGAGCTGATGCTCAAGACAATTTCCTGATTTCCCATTGATTTTCCCGTCTGCTTCGGATGGTGTTGGGGAAGGAGTGTTTTGGGCGTTACTTAGGTGGGATATTTATGCGCATATTTTGGGGTCAAGATGGGCTACAATAAAGGTCACGCGGTGTACAAGATAAGGGCAGACTACTTCGTGTCCTCGGGACCCTCCTCGAGAAGGCTACAGAGGGAATACTTTAGTGGGAATACATAAGATGTAGCGACGATGTAAATTATTTTGCCACCCCTCGACAAACACCCCATGAATAACGAGATAGAAAATATTGATCAGTTACGCACTCTGCCAATTTTCTTGAGGGGAATGTTGATATTAACAAGGATATTTACTTTCTTCGTCACCGCAAATTTTCACCCTTAGTCAATTATTATCAGCGGAGTGTCTATTTTTGCAGCGAATTGACGAATTGGGCGCGGAATTGGAACAAATGGTGGCAATTTATTGCACATACAAATGTGACACGAATATAATTTATTGCTCGTTCTGTCGTGATGTGCTTTTATATCATACTAATTTAAACAGTCACTAATCAATTAGACCTCAAATATGTATAAATGCACGCTTTGCCATTGCTCAGGCGCATATTTTGCCACACTTTCTGTGTCTCCACTATGCGCCACCTCTTGGCCAACATCGGCAACACCCAATCAAATGTGCCACTGTTGCTCTCCATCAGCCCAGAACGCTCTTTTCATCTCTCGGGCAGAATTGTGGCTGAGAAAAGTTTTTCGTCGAGCATCAGATCTGGCAAAGCCACATAAAGGGAATTGCATAAAACACTGTCAATGTTGCATTAAAATTCCGTGTTGAAGTTTGTCGAAGCACACGAGTGCACATTTTGGTGTTTTCTCTCAGTAACATCATTTTCTAAAACTCCCAAAAACTTTCACGCCTCGATACCCTCGAGTTAAACCCAAAATTGAACTTATATGCTTCGTGTTGCCTCTCTTGGGCAATTTATCTCCCGCTCCACCACGCATTAGGCCTCCGCAGTTTCTTGTGCAAATGGCACAACTCGGATCCTCGTCACTCCCAGAGAAACTTTAAATCATAGCTCCGCAGGCGATGTGGTCAAATTTCTTGCCTAGTAGTTCGCAAAGTCACTGTTTGTCAAAGTAATTAAACTTGGGAATGTCTCTGGAGTATTATATATTGAATTAAGTTGACCCATTTCTGCAAGAGTGAATCATAAATGTCCAATTATTTCACGTTTTTTCGGGAATTTAAACCTCCAGACAAATTGCACATAAATTGGAAACTTTTCACTGAATGAATATCAACAAAAGAGAGGTAAAAAGTTAATAGAAAAAACACGAATTTCAGGAGTCATGCTCAATTACACCGCTTTCTCTCTTCAAAGAGACGAATTACGAGAATCGCCAGTGAAACCTACGTCATTTTGGCAACAAATTATCGTAGATTTTTGTCAAGGGGACAATCACTCGCGAGTTGAGACCATTAACTTTGTGAAATTTCAAACAATTTTTAATTATTTCTTGACTTTTATTCAAATTTTGAATATTTTATACAAATTTCAATCATTTCTTTATTATTTCCTGGATATTTAATCAAAATTTGGTTATTTCATACAAAAATTTTCAATCGTTTTTTCCATTATTTCTTGATTTTTATATAAATTTGATTATTTCATACAAATTTCAATCATTTCTTGATTATGTTCTAAATATGTTATTAAAATTTGATTATTTCATACAAAAATTTTCAATCATATTTGATTTTCTGATTATTTCCTGAATATTTAATCAAAATTTGATTATTTCATACAAATTTCAATCATTTCTATTTATCTCCTGAATATTTAATCAAAATTTTCTTATTTCATACCAAAATTTTCAATCGTTTTTTCCATTATTTCTTGATTTTTATATAAATTTGATTATTTCATACAAATTTCAATCATTTCTTGATTATTTTCTGAATTATATTCAAAATTTAATTATTTTATAAAAACAATCTTCAATAATTTTTTGATTTTTCGTGATTTTTATTCAAATTTTTAATATTCCATACAAATTTCAATAATATTTTGATTATTTTATTCAAAATTTAATTATTTTGCAATTTTACATGGAAAAATAATCATTTTTGTGATTATTTTATTCAAATCTTTAAGTATTTGATTTAGACCATTAATTATCCTTCAAAATCGCCTTGTGACTTACCCCTTGATTTTTGTATTTGTTTATTGCTTTTTATTATCTGTTTTCTGGCAGAGCAAAATTTTCCATTTCATTACTTTGTTTTCTCACTGCTGCCTGGCTTGCAATCCTTTGAATGTGAGTTAGAAACTCCCATTGCGAAGCAGAGTAGCATTCTCTGATGGACTTTTTCCTAGTTGTTTGTGCGCAAGTGTTGCAATTACAGCAGATCAAAAACCCTCCTTGCAATGCCCAAAATGTGGCCATTAGCAGAATATTCGGCCAGAATTCCTCCAAATGATGCGTCTGTGAATGCCAGAGCGGGGGTAAAATTCTCAACACGAGCATCAGTCTCGAAATTGTAAACAATGAGCTTCCTTTTAATTAGTGTTTGCTTTCAAGTTGCAAAATTGGTGCAATGACATGCGAAGGCATTCGCCCGCGATGTTATAAACATCTAGTTTCGCGGGAAACTGCCAAAAACAGTCCTCCTCTCTGGCCGCACTCGCTCTCCTAAGACGCAGAAATATACATTTGCTGCCTGCATATTTGAAATGCATGTATATGTGTGTACATATTTTGCCCAGGAGGAATAACATACATCCATCTCTGTGTGGTTCGTTGACCGGACATTAACCGCTAGTGTACACTTCTATACACACTGAGTGCAGTTTGGCGGAAAAAAGGTGCACAAGAGTTTCGCCTCGCGAAACTCCGCGGCTCTCACAAGAGTGCACATAGTAATTTAGCGAATTTTAGGATGATGTAGATTAGAGTCGGAGAACGAGTTTCGGATATATATATGCAGGCGAAACCCCACCTTATTACACACGTCCAATTTCCTCATGTCACTGCATCTCTGGACACTGGCTGATGGGGCGAATGTGATTGAACTCCTGCGGAGTGGACACGATATCTTCTTATGGTTTTTGTAATTTGGCCTCTCTCGTTTTTAGTTGAAATCTGCCGATTCCGAGTACACGATCAATCGCAGCAGTGACACTTTGGAGTCTACTGCGGATCAGGGTCGTAACACATGCAATGGTGCTGCCCCCATTGGTGCTCTCGGCGCCAAATCGAACCACACTGGCGCGAATGGCTCCGTCATTACTATGACGCTAAAGAATAACCACCTCATTGTTGAGACGGAGGAGAGAAATGTAAGGATTTTGCCGGACCTCATTTTTGCCCTCAATTTAAGTGTTGTGCCAAAATTCTGTTTTCCACAAAGAAAAAAAATATCGTTTTTCTTTTTGCTCCTTTAAAAAAAGACAAATTAAGAAAACGTGAGAATTCGCTCAAGTGACATCCTTGTTGAGATAAAATTTCCTATTTGAAAACTATGAAAGATCTGTTGCAAAAAACAAGAACCATCTTCAACTGTAGAGATTTTTACATTTTACTAGCACTTGCAAGGTTCGTAATAGTTTTTTTTTCATTATAAGTTTCTTCAATTTCGTTCACAGTTTGTTCACCCAATTTTTGAAATAAGTAAAACATTCCATTTTAATACAGCTTTTTAGTATGTTTCAAGTTAAAAAACATCTTGAGAGCTTCTCGCTTCACATTCTATGAAATATTTTTAAACAATTAACATTAAAACAACTGTTTTTTATTCAAAATTCATGATCACAATAGATTGATTAAGAGTCAAAGTTGAAAAAAAGGATTTTTATTTCTGCTTTTCCAGTACTTTGTTGCTTAGTTTGCACACTGAATTCCTCACTGTCTTCCAGGATATTTCGCGAGATGCCAGAGAGACCAAGATGCACTACTCGCCGTCGGAGAAAGATGGGGTGTTTGTGGTGGAAGTGGCCAGAGGAGCGGACAGCACAGGACTCGCCGAGGAGTTCAGCAAGAACAATCAGGACATTCTACTGCAGCAGAAGACGAACATCGAATTCACCGGTCCGGGAGTTGATCAGGAGCCGCTGATTTCGCTGAAGACCGACCCAACGCCTGAACATCAGAAGGTGCAGATCCACGATCCGCCGCCGGCCGAGAAGCCCGCGGAACTTATTCTGGAAGTGAATGATCTGAAGAGCGACCAACTGGCTATTCACGCGAAGACCGGACTAACGCAGTCGAATCTCAGCGTTTCGTCGTCGAACGGGAGCAACAAGGACTACTGCTACGGGTCGCAGGTGCCCTACACGGTGGAGACGAAGGGCTACAAGAGCTCCTCGCCGCGCAACGTGAAGATGGACGGGCGAAATGAGGCCGAGAGTGCGTCCAACAGCGAAGACGGTGAGGAGACGTTCATCAACAGGAAGCCAATTGTCACGGGAGCGATTTACAAGCAGGACACGCTGGACTTCGAGTCGTCGATTCCGCTGGACATTAGCGAGGTGTCGGCCAGTAAGTGTGCCAAGGAGGATCAACTGATCAGCGAGCAGCATCAGCTGGGAAATGGGGAGATCAACGCGCTGGATGAGGCGAAGAAGTGGAACGACAGCGGACCTGTTGTCAACGGGGAGGCTGAGAAGGAGTCCTTCACCTACCCAGAGCCGCCGTCTTCGGAGGAGATTAAGTGTCTGCACGACAGCACAGTGATTGAGAACAATATGGACTCCCTCCCACCGCCGCCACCTGTTGACAACGCCGCCAACCAGTTGGACGAACAGAGTCTGGTCGCTGAGAGTTAATAGGAAAATTCCGGCAGCAGACTCTCTTGCGACTCATAAGCTAATTTAAATAGAGGATTCTGATGGAAAATAAAATGCAAAAACTCTACTTGATGTGTAGATTTATGTGAAATAAGGTCAGAAAATTGTATTTCTGTTATTTCTTTAAGAAATTCTATCGAGTTATTGGTCGAAAAAACTTTAGAAAGACAAAAAAATTAAAGGCAAGAAATTAACAACCAGCACGACGATAAATGGAGTTGAAACGTTGAAAAATTTTATTCTTTAGAAAACACATTTTAAGAATGGAGTATTTTGGACAGAAGATCTATAAACTCTCTTTCTTTTTTTTCACGAGACATTACAAGAAATTGTGGAAGATTTTTAACCAAATGGCGTCATGAGGACCAAAGCAACACCGACTACAATTTTGATAGTTCCAGACTTTTGATGCATTAGTTGCATATATTAAAAACTGACAGTTTTACGTGTATTTTGTCACTCGATGAAAATTCCCGTCCTCTTGCGTGTAATTTGTCCTTTAGTATACGTTTTTTCGTCACCTAATAAATATGCAATAATTTTTCTTAACCAGAGATGAAAAGCAAATTAAACCTCCTGAATCACTTTTTCAATCTCAAAAAAGAAAATAAGAAAAAAAAACTGAAGCATTCACGAACATTAAATCCCACCACTGAACCTTTGCGTTGATATCGTTTCCTAAGAACAATACTAAGAACAGTCCAACTGTGGAGAAATAACATTAGAAATGTTTGACTTACTATTAGGTTAAAATAGACGACAGAGCGTCGAAATTTTGATGACATAAGTGATATTTTTGAAACACGAAGTAAGCTTAATATTTACTAAAAAGTGAAAAAGAAATACATTATGAGAAAAAAATGATAACTATTACCAAAAAAAAATTGAGTAAAAGTACATAATATGAATAGTCATTAGGATTTTTACATTAAATCTTTGAAGAAGAAAGAAAAAACAAGTAATGAGCAAAATTGTGACAGATATTCATGTGAACAAGGGGGAGATAATACGGCTAAACAGTGTACACCACTTCCAGACACTTCCACAATTCCTCTGCAGAATCTTCAACACTTCCACACACTTCTTAACACCCTTAAAAATGCATTTTCCATCGCTTTTTCCACTCCATCAACTGTTTCTCACACTCAATTCCGACTTATCACAAAGCTAATCTGGGTTTTTCCATCTCAAGAAGTTTAAACTCTTCAAATGCTTCAGATTTTAGACTGTAAAACATGATTTTAACATCCCAGAATTTGTTCATAAACAATTTTTGCCTTCATTTTCTGGTTTAATCTCCAGAAAATGCTTGAAAAGAAATTCTAGAATCAATTGTGAGGTTATGAATTTTGCTTAAAAAATACTTCAAGCTTGAAAATGAAAAAATGGCGAAAAAACGATGTTAAATTTGCCAATTTAGAGCACAAATTGCAAAAATAACGAAACAAAGAGAATTCTCTGAGACATTTTTGAGGTTATGGTTGACTTTTAAGCTGTTTCCGAACAGTTTTTTTTTGTACGCAAATGCTTAATTTTGCCAAGAAAAGAGTAAAATTTTCATCTGGAACAGAAATTAGATGAATTTGAAGGATATTTTATCTCGCATAATCTCAAATAAAAGGAATAAAACTGATTTTTAAGCAAAAATTATTAGAAAAATGCCGCAATTTGGGTGAAATGGAAGTGTTTTTCAGTGAAAATATTTTATATATTTTGCCACTTCCGATTCTAAACACTTCCTTTCAAGCTGTACACCACTTCCGACCATAATATCTACCCCTTGCATGTGAACGTTCATGAGATATTCTAGGTATTATTAAACGACGTCATAATGAAATCCTCATACCTAATTAGCCAACATTAAATGTTTGTAATGATTTAAATTAGTGTTATTAATTGAAAAAAAATGTGACATGTCAGCATTCATACTCACAATTTATCCTTCAAAAAAAAAAAGTAATGTAATGATGTAAAATAAGTAATAACTTAGTCTCTACTCTCAGCAGAAAATTAATCAAAAACGTCATTGTCCAGAAGCATTTCTAAGGAATCACTGTGCTTAAATGTCTTTGGCTTTTTATAATTAAGAAGTAGAAATAAATGCTACTTCAACTTTTCTACCCATATAATGTTTTATGATTTCAGAAAAAAATCGGAACAAAAATTGGAAAGATTGAAAGATGAGAAAACAAGGAATTTTGAAGATAAAAAAAAATTTGTTTAGCAACAAGAAAAAAGGAAGAAAAGTAGTACAATATATAAATATGAAATTTATACTTGTTAAAAGTAATGTCAATTTCTTGTCCATCGTCACATTAATAATAAATAAAAAAATAGTGACAAAAATATGATGAAGAAAAAACTATGAATAAAGTAATTGTAGAAATATTCCGAGAAGCAAAGAAAATTGAATGAATTTTTGACACAATATTTTATCAATTTTATTTTCTGAAAAAGAAACAACTTTATAAGAAAAAAATCCTTATATTGATATTTGTCGGATTCTTAATGATTTCCTCTCTGGTATTTATTACACTTTCTATTGTCGAGTTTAGAGGTAAAAAAAAAATTGTAGCGATTTTAAGAAAAAGGGACTGAAATATTTTAGACAGAAAGAAACGGATGAATTCGAAAGTGGATTTTTAAGAAAAGACTCATTCTTATCAACGGCATTAAGAAAAATCATGGGAAAAAGAAATGAACTTGGTTTAGGTATGAAAAGTGACTTTGCTCAAAGGAATAATTTCAGAATTTAGACAAGTCATTAAGTAATCAATTTGTAGGTAGTTTAGCAACTAATTTCAATCTTTGTTTTTCAAAGAAAAACACACGTTGATACAGAAGAAAGTCGAATTTGTGAAAGAAATTTATGAAAAAAAACCATCGATAATGATTCAGCAACATCCAAAAAAATTTGAATTTTAATACATTGATAACACTTAAAAATAATAAATAAACAATAAATAGTCGTGATATGGAGTATTTGAATTTGTCTGGAGATTTCTCAGGACCTTTTATAGCAGTGAAAATCAAAGTTTTTCACCGCCCAAGCCAAGGATAACCGGAGATTCACCTATGGAAATTACAAATTTTCCACTTCCTCCGCAACTTTTCTCCCCCGCGGTTGACAGATGGCGCAGCAGTGCTGCTTTTCCTTTCACATGCAACTTCGCGGTGTCCTCGAAGTGTGCACCGCCAGGATCTGCGTAACACACGCCCAGTGCACATATGTAAACACATGCTCTGGATGTTCTTCTAGAAAAAAATTCACTTTCATCGCTCTTATGTACGTTCCGCGCTTCTATTTATTATATCCTCGGACGTTTGTTTGCTGTTTTCAATAGACTGATTCCTCTCGCCCGGCTTTACGGTTTTGTGCTACTTTTGAAAGTGAAAAGTGCTTTTTTCTGCACTGTCGCTGCACAAGTCCGGTAAGAGCACGTGACGTCGCAGTGACTTTGATGACAGCGTGATTTATGGCGCCAATAAGAGGATTTGTTGATCAATCTGTGAATTTCAATTCAATCGGCTCTAGTTGTGTTTACTTTGAGGAGATTTTCTGGGTAGAATTCAGTCAAAATCATCGTTTTTCAAAAGAACTAATTGAAAATTAGGCATTAATATAGCTCTAAAATTTGACAAATTTACTTCAAAACTCCCAAAACATCTTCCAATTGCACTGTAATAATTTTTTCTGCGAACTTTTCAGTTGCTTTTATTAGTATTTATTTGAATTTTTGACTTTTTCAAATCTTTGAATTATCGTGATTAGATTTTTAATAGTCTTTGAGTATATTTTATCTAAACAAACTCTGAAAAGTCAACTTTTCATACTTCACCTGAACTTTTCTATAAAGTCTTCAAGTAAAAAAGTTTAAAAAATATATGAAATATTCAATCAAAGTCTAAGAATATTTTAGAATAAATCTCAATATGTAAATTTTTTTCACAAAAATACGTTTTATGCTTTTGACTGCATTTTGAGACAATTTTCTAACGAATAATAAACGATAAAGTCGATTTTTCTTAGTTTACGTCGCAAAACATGAAAAAATTTCTTACTTTTTACTGTTGTTTCGAAAGATACAAATCTCATAATTTAAATAAAGAGCTTTCCAGAAATACATAAGACGAAAACTATGAAAAATCAACATTTCTTTTTGATTCACCCTTTGAATTCAGAACTCTAATAAACTAAGCAACTTTAGGGATATAAATTCTGGTGGAATCCATTAACGTTTCGCGGACATTTTTAATCTGACATCTTAGTATAAGTGGTATAAATCAGAAGCCAGTAAATCTACAGAGTATATTTTACCGAAATCCTTCCATAGTGGAGCTCCAGAAGTGGCATAAAAACTTTATTTCCGAGTGATTTCAGAGCTCCATTTTCAAATTCAGAAAGTCGTTTGAGCCTCGCTGTAAAAATTTCATATATTATGGTGATTCAATGTACAACGTCGGCGGCATTGGGCTGCGGCTCTGTCCATTATGTAATCTCTGTAAGAGGTATTATTAATACTGCAATAATTTAGAGGCGAATTTGAGGGTAGAGAGGCAAAGAGGCGAATACGATGGTGGAATTAAGGCACTATAATACATTCTAATGTGAAATAACATCATACTCTGAGGAGTGATACAGTCGCAGGAGTATAATGTGGGATGATGGGTATACAAACTTTGGGCTGTAACATCAATTCTTTTTCGCATCTTTTTCAATGCGACATGAATATGATATTTCAGAGGGTTTAAAAATAAAATTCACATAAAGCCAGTCATAAAAACGTGAAAGTGTGCGTCTGTGTGGAAATGGGAGAGAAGCTCTGGATGAGGAGACTTGGTGTGTGTGTGTAGTTGTTGGGGAGCTTTTATGGAAAAATCATTACCCAGCGCACACAGTGGTGTCTCTTTTTGCGCTATATTTTATATTCATAAAATATAATTCAATGCGGAGTTTAAATTGTACATAGAAAGTGGCATAGGGTGTATAGAAGGGTGGCTCAAGGCGGGCGGCAATGTGTTCTCAGCTCTCCCCACCCCATTCCGCCCTGCCACTATACATTGTCGAACAAACAGTACCAACAGAATTGTATTATTTAAATTTAAATTCACAATTCTCCCGGCCTGGGCCGACATGAAATATTTTCTAAACACTGTAATAGATGCTGGTTCACATTGTGATGTCGCTCAAGTTCGCGATTTATGAGGGTGTGAGTGACACTTTCGCCCCCTTTTTTCCAGGCCGCGCCACACCACCCTCTCTCCTCATCAGCCCATCTCTCTCTCTCCCTCTCGAACCCTCTATTATATTTGTAATGTGTACCTACACCGTATAAATATATCAGGCATCGTCAAACTTTTAACAAGCGGGCTAAATTTCTGTCGCTGGCGCACAAAGAACTTCTACTTTATAAATTAGACGCTCGAAACATGAGCAAGAGTTTCGGGTTGCGATCGTATTCCATCCATAGTTGCTCCGTCATTCATTCTACAGATGAAGATTTTGGATAAATCCTTTGAAATTTCATGATCACCGATGAAAGCTAGTGAAAACCAAGGAAATCTATTCTTGTTTTTCATAATTCTCATCTTTTTTCTCCTTCTTACAAATCGAAGGGTGCCGCGAAAAATATCAAGAGCCAAAATTGCAATTTTTCAGCAGAGCGATTTGAAAATTCAGCGTTAATAAGTCTGCGAAATTTGCTGAATTTACTTCAAAACCCTCAAAACGGCTTCAAATCGTTCATTTAAGTGAAAATATTGCTATGTATTTTTTATTTTGTAAATATTTCAGTTGATTTTATTGGAATTTGTAACTGAAATATGGCAAAATTAATAGTAAATCTAAAAATATTACTTTCCAAAGTCGATTTTATCGAAATTGGTTCTAAAAAAATCAATTTTTCATACCTTACTTGAACTTTTCCTTGATGTTTTCAAGTGAAAAAATTTAAAAGATATGAGAATTATTCATTCAAAGTCTAAAAAACATTTAAGGATAATTCTTAAGTTCTATAATTATTTTCTGAAAAGGCGTTTTATGCGTTTGACTTCAAAATTTGAGACATTTTTCATTCAGAAAACATGACAATTTTTTTATTTGTGCTTTTTGAATTAACAAGATTTTTTTGGTATTGTGTCTTAAGATACAAATCAAATTTTCAAACATACTTCTCATAGTTTTCGATTCACCCGTCGAAATCCTTCCCTTCGCCCTGAAGCGAGATCTCTCATGTTGCTCTGGACTTTCTCAAAATTCTCCCAATGTTCTTCTCTCAACTCTTGTTGCACACGAAATGCTAATGCATTTGTGGTTGATTGAGAGATAAGCGGAGTGAAAAATTTCGTGGATTCCCCGCGCGCGAAGAACAAGAGCCGCGATTAGGCGGCAGAAGGGCGATCGTGGACATGAAAGGCCGCAGCAACAATATGGCCCGCGAGCGATAGTTAATGCATTTCTGATAATATAGTGAGTGCTGTACATGTACGAGCGCCTATTCTTCACTCCCTCCCAAGGCCTGGGAGGCTCTCGAGCCTGGGCGCAGAGTAACTAACCGTCTCACACCACGGCAGCCCATATATTCTTTATTGTAGCGTCCTTTTCGGCACGGCCTCGTCCTCAGCGAGCGACGCGATGCTGAGAGAGGGTGGAGAGAAGGCGAGGCCTACCCCCTCGGCAGCCCCATTCTCCACTATAAAATATATAAAAAATATACGTAGAGAGATGTATAATAAAAGCGGGCAAATATATATCTCTGTGTGTAAAATACAATAATAAAAAAATATGGATTCTGTTTATTTGTAAGTGTACGGCGCGGGATGCGGAGCCCGAGATGGGGGCGAGAGGCTGACTTGAATTTAGCGGCTCCAAGCAAATTCCCCGTCATAAAAAGCAAGTTTTTGGGAAAAGCGTATTTTTTATGTTCATTCCACCAGTAACTCTCCCGCTCGCGTATTTCTATTCCGACCACCCACACCCCGGCGCCCTCGGTTGCTCGGGCCAACCACCCAGCGCCTCGTTTTTGTGGAGCGAAGCGGCAGCAGCATCCCCCTCAATTTCTAACCGCCAATCCACCCCATCTACGCCGCTCATCGAAATGAAAATTAAGTATGTATTCGTTTTTAGTGCTCGTTGGGAGTTACATGAGGACGTGGAGGGTGCGCGGATGTAGTTTTTAATGGCGCCCAAGCGCCTATATATAAACATTTTCGCAGCGTATTATGTGCCACCCCATACATAGTATAGTCCTTAGTGGGGAAGCGCGTCCCTTTTTTAACAACTTTCGACATAAAATTTTTTTATACTTTCGATATAAAGTGTATAGAAATGTGCTGCATGAGGGTGTGTGCTTTGCGCCGTAATAGGCTTGGGAGGAACATGATACATAATTTATTTTATAGGAAAGAAAAATAACGGAAATAATAAAACTTTGCAATAAAAAGAATTTTAAAATTTTACGAATACACGGGGAAAGAGAGAGAGCAGTCGGCGAAAAAGGAGCGCACAGAGAGAGAGACTTTCCTTGATTCCTTCTTCTCTAGGACCATTGGATGCTGTGCCGCCTTGTATTGACTTTCTCATAGCAAATATTCCAGATGCTGGGCGAGAAAAAGGGAAACGTGACACAGTGATGATAAAATTTACCTCCTTAAAGTGTCATTTTTTACAATTTCACCTCCAT